CAGCTCCTCACCCCATGCCTGAATTCCTTCTAGACCAGCTTGTGCTTGTTCACCTCCACTGACGGGAGCCTCATTACCTCCAGGGGCAGCTCATTTGCTCGGACCAGACGGGGTTCTCTTTATTGCACCAAAAGCATGTTGTTCTCATTTCCATCCATTGGTGATTATCTGTTTCATAATAGCTGCTCCTAGTAGGTGAAATTATCTCATATCAGCCTCTCTACCTGCATCACCCCCTTGAATCCTGTCAATGATTTTGAGGGGTGATTTCAGCGATATGAAAATTGAGGCTAAAAACAACTAAATAACTCGGTCACAAGGTCCCAGTCACACAGTGAGTAAAGGGTAAGAGCTGAAAGTTGAACCTTAGCAGGTGGAAGGCAGGGCCCGAACAACCAACCTGCCTCCCAACGTGCCGAGGGGCCCAGGCCTCTTGTCTCCCACGGTTGCCTGTCTGTATTAAAAGGACATCCCCAGGCTGGGGTCTTCGTTTTTCTTAGAGACCTTCCCAGCAGCCTTTGCCAGCAGATGAAGTGTGGCCTGGGCATGGCGGATGACTGATGTTATTTCAGACCAGCAAATGGGGAGCAGAGGGATAGTCAGAGGGAAAGAAGCCACCTGCCCAGGGGCACGTGGGTTTGAGGAGGGTGGAGGAGACGACCCTGGGGCTAAGGTTTAGGACTGGAGGTGGCTGGAAATTCACCCTCTTCCCATGGAGGAGAGGTAGAGAGGCAGCTATGATAAGCCACGCCTTAAACCAAACACTCTGTCCACCCTCCAACTTGAAAAGGGCAGAATTTTCCACCAAGGTGATGCCTTGGGCTGAAGACCTCAGGGCCACAGAGATGAAAAAGGAATGGGACTCAGTAATCCTACCTGTAGTCTTTACCCATGTGCCCGCTGCTCAGCACCATCCCCTTAGAATTCGGGGGGGGGGGGCGTGGAGAAGGAGGGAGTGAGAGCAAGACAGAAGCCAGAAGACTGAGGCCCCCCAGTGGCCCCTGTTAAGCCTTAGAAGGCAGTCGTGACCGGGTGTGAGTAGCTTTCTTTTCCTCTCTAGGTTTAGATCAGGCACTCCCAGCGCAGATAACACAGTGATGCACCTCTAGGCTGCCTTCCCAAGACTCCAACTCCAGCTACTTCCAAAGGATGAGATTACAGGGTTCTGTGGTTTTTCCATATCCTGTCAATCAGTCCGTCAACAAACATTCTCTGAGCACCGGCTGTGTGCCTGGCCCCGTGGACAACAAGACAAACACCGCACCTTTGGGGCTGCTTGGAATGAGGTTGAGAGCACAGTCAATTCCTCAGCCCTGCCACTTACTACTAGCCGCGTGACCTTAGGGAGACACGATTTATTTGTGCCAGTTTCTTCACCTGTTAAGCGGGATAGTGAGAATGCATCTACCTAGTGGTAAACACTATGGAAGTGGTTCCTATTATTATTTTCTTGTCCTCAAATAACTCCAGGATAATGGGGGAGACTGATGTGTAGACCAACTGTCACAATGCCAGGGGTAGAGCTGGGCACGGGGCACCCTGGGAGGCCAGGAGAAGGGCTGCTCCCTGGCCTGCACTTCATAAACATTTATAGAGAGCCGCTCTGTGCCAGGCGCTGTGCTGGCCACTGGGGACACAGAGATGAACGGGACACATTGTCCACTCATCCGTGCTCCTCCCCTCTCTCCCAAGGCCCAATCCCAGAACCCTGCACTGAGCGGGGTGGGGGGGGCATCATGAACAGAACAAAGTGGAGAGAATCAAGGCCTGGAAATCAGGACACCTGGGTTCATGTCCACCACGCACGGGGTACCTGACCTTGGGCCCTCTCTGGCCTCAGTTTCCCCACTGTGGCATGAAGGAGTTGGACAAGATGACCCCTCTGGTCCTGCCCCACTTCTGACAGGTGATGAATAACTCCACTCCCACAGAGCTTGAAACTCACCCCAAGTGCAGTCCCTAGGCCATCCCAGCCTGCTGGCCGGCCCACTGAGGCAGTGGGGAAGAGATGTCTGCCTGGCACTGACTGGCACTGCCTTGCTGAAGAGCTGGCACAATTTCACATGAAATAGGGGGGCCTGGATCTAAAGGCGGGTTGTTTGAAGGGGGTGGGGGGTGCTGGGGAAAGGCAGAGCCAGCTCCCACAGGCCCTATTCATAGCTCTCCCTGGGGAGGGAGACACAGCAGGATAATTAAAACCGGGCTTTGTCCAAATCCCTGACCAAGCCAATATCTCACCTTTGAACCCCTGCAGCCAACAGAGCAGGGCTGATGTCCCTTTGGAAGGAAAACACCAATGAACTGAGCCACAGTCCAAGTGCTATGGGCCGACATGGGGTGGGGGTGGGGGTGTTGGAGGAGTAAATGAGCGGATTCCAGACCCACCAACATGGATGGGCGCCTGGGGCTTCGCCACCCTGAGGCCTCCGGTGGCCTTCCCGGTAGCAGCCTGACAACACGCATCCAAGCTCCAACCCAGCGAGAGGCTAACCTTGTTCTTGGGCTGTGTCCACGATGGACCCAGATTCGGGGTGGGAGTGACAGCAGGGCAAGGGAGGTCCCGAGAAGCAGGATGGCAGGGTGAGAGTGTGGTCTCTGCAGCCAGATTGCCTGGCTCTAACACTTGTTTACGATGTGATCTTGGCCAAGCGATTAGCTGTCTATGCTTCCGTGTCCTCAACTGTAAAATGCCGATAATAACGGGACCCACGTCACAGTGGTGTTGTGAGAATAAAATGAGGTAATTTCTAAAAATCCTGACCTTGCTACCTATCTCTTAACTCTCAGCTGTATTAATAAAGCAACTCCCTCCCTTAAAAACA